AAAAAAGTCATAGTATAGTAAGGCATAAAAAGTCATAAATAAGTCATAGTATAGTATGGCATAAAAAGTCATAAAAACGACATAGTATGGTAAGGCATAAAAAGTCATAAAAACGACATAGTATAGTAAGGCATAAAAAGTCATTAAAAAAGACATAGTATAGTAAGACACAACAACTCAAGAAAACGACATAGTATAGTAAGGCAATATGAGCCATAAAGATGGCATAGTATAGTAAGGCGTAAAATGTCATAAAATGTCATAGTATAGTTAGGTATAAAAAGTCATAGTATAGTAATGCGTAAAAAGTCATTAAATATGTCACAGTATAGCAAGGCATTAAAAGTCATAAAAACGACATAGTATATTAAGGCATAAAAAAATCATTAAAAAAGACAGTATAGTAAGGCATAAAAAGTCATTAAAAAAGTCATTGTATGATAAAAATTAAAAAGTTATAAAAATGTAATAGTATAGAAAGGCATAAAAAATCATAAAAACAACATTGTATGTTAAGGCATAAAAAGTCATAAAACGTCATAGTACAGTATGGCATAAAAAGTCATGATATAGTATGGCATAAAAAGTCATAAAAAAGTCATAGTATAGTAAGGCATACAAAGTCATAAAAATGTCATAGTATAGTATGGCATAAAAAGTCATAAAAAAAAGTCATGATATAGTATGATATAAAAAGTCATAAAAAAAAGTCATAGTATAGTAAGGCATAAAAAGTCATAAAAAAGTCATAGTATAGTAAGGCATAAAAAGTCATAAAACGACATAGTATAATATGGCATGAAAAGTCATAAAAATGTCATACTATAGAAAGTCATAAAAAGTCATAAAACGTCATAGTACAGTATGGCATAAAAAGTCATGATATAGTATGGCATAAAAAGTCATAAAAAAGTCATAGTATAGTAAGGCATACAAAGTCATAAAAATGTCATAGTATAGTATGGCATAAAAAGTCATAAAAAAGGCATAGTATAGTAAGGCATACAAAGTCATAAAAATGTCATAGTATAGTATGGCATAAAAAGTCATAAAAAAGGCATAGTATAGTAAGGCATACAAAGTCATAAAAATGTCATAGTATAGTATGGCATAAAAAGTCATAAAAAAGGCATAGTATAGTAAGGCATACAAAGTCATAAAAATGTCATAGTATAGTATGGCATAAAAAGTCATAAAAAAGGCATAGTATAGTAAGGCATACAAAGTCATAAAAATGTCATAGTATAGTATGGCATAAAAAGTCATAAAAAAGTCATAGTATAGTAAGGCATAAAAAGTCATAAAACGACATAGTATAATATGGCATGAAAAGTCATAAAAATGTCATACTATAGAAAGTCATAAAAAGTCATAAAAACGACAGTATTGTAAGGCATAAAACGTCATTAAATATGTCACAGTATAGTAAGGCATAAAAAGTAATTAAAAATGTCACAGTATAGTAAGGCATAAAAAGTCATAAAAATGACATAGTATAGTAAGGCATAAAAGGTCATAAAAACGACATGGTATAGTAAGGCATAAAAAGTCATAAAAAACAACATAGGCATAAAAAGTCATTAAAAATATCATAGTATAGCAGGGCATAAAAAGTAAAAAAAAAAAACGACATAGTATAGTAAGGCTTAAAAAGTCATTGTATAGTAAGGCACAAAAAGTCATTAAAATTGTCACAGTATAGTAAGGCATAAGAAATCATAAAAACGACATAGTATAGTAAGGCATAAAAAGTCATAAAAACGTCTTGTTATAGTAAGGCATAAAAAGTAGTAAAAATGATATAGTATAGTAAGTCAATATAAGACATCAAAACGACAGTATAGGGAGGACTAAAAACATCAAAGTATAGTAAAGCATCATAAAGCATAAAAACATCATAGTGTATTAAGGCAAAAAAAGTAATAAAATCGACATAGTATAGTATATAGTATATAGGCAATATAAGCTTTAAAAATATCATAGTGTAGTAAGGCATAAAAAGTCATAAAAACGACATAGTATACTAAGACTGAAAAGTCAAAAAAATGATATAGTATAGTAAGGCAAAAAAAATTTAAGACCTTGCCCTCATGTGCTCTGCTCTTCTCCCCTGCCGCATGTATTTGTTTGTCTGCAGTTTTTGTCTGTGTCTGCATAAGTGTGTGTCAGTTGGTCATGGCTTCCTGGTTCCTGCTCGCTCCATTCGCCATACTCTCCTGGTTCTCATCATACAATCTCCACAACCTGCTGCAGTATAATAAACCACTTCAACTTACAATTCTCTGTGACATCGTTCCATTTCTTCAAGTGGTATTAACAGTATGGCCAAACTCAGTTTGCTGTTTACTCTGAGTCTTTCTGGATGTTTTTTAATCCTGTTGTGTTTGTGCTTCAGATTCATACTGCTGCCATCCTTCCACCTGCCATGCTCAGCTCCTGTCTTGTCATCTTGGATTTTGTTTGCCTGCGGATTCCTGTGGATTCCTGTCTATAAATACATCTCTGCCATTATCGTGCCGGACTGTCTACAGCCCCATGCCCTCAGCATCATAACCAGCCCCCCTTCCACTCCACACCATGAAATAAGAGTGCAATAAAACACGTTATCACTACTGCTCTGTGTTCTTATTGTGGGTTCGGATCATGACAAAATCTTACAAAGAAGGTATGAAAAAGTCATGGTATTTTAAGGCATAAAAATGTAATCTTATGGTAGGGCATAAAAATTCATTAAATACTAAGGCATGGCAACATCACAGTATATTGAGGCAAAAAAGTAAAAGAAAATGTTGTACTATAGTAAGGCATGAAAAGTGAAAAGTATAATGAGGCACAAAAAGTGAAAAAAGACATAGTATAGTAAGGCAATATGAGCCATAAAAATGAAATAGTAAAGTAAGGCAATATAAGCCATAAAAAAGCAATATAGTATAATAAGGCATAAAAAGTCATGAAATTGACATAGTATAGTAAGGCATAAAAAGTCATAAAAACGACATAGTATACTAAGGCATGAAAAGTAAAAAAAAACAACATAGTATTTTAAGGCATAAAGACAACATAGCATAGTAAGGCAATATAAGCCATAAAAACTACACAGTATATTAAGGCATGAAAAGACAAACAAACGACATAGTATAGTAAGGTAATATAAGACACCAAAACTAGATAACATAGTGAGGATTAAAAATGTCATAGTAAAGTAAGGCATTAAAGGGCATAAAAATGTAGTATAGTGAGTCATAAAAAGTCATAAAAATGACATAGTATAGTAAGGCATAAAAAGTTATGAAATAGTCATAGCATAGTAAGTTATAAAATCATAATACTATACTAAGGCATTAAAAGTCATAAAAATATCACAGTATAATAACGCATTTAAACGTCATAGTATAGTAAGGCATAAAAAGTAAAAAAAAACGACATAGTATAGTAAGGCATAAAAAGTCATACAATTGACATAGTATAGTAAGGCATTTTATGTTATAAAAACAACATAGTACAGTAAGGCATGAAAAGGTCATAGTATAATGAGGCATAAAAAGTCATAAAAAAGTCATAGTATAGTAAGGCATAAAAAGTCATAAAAATACAAAGTCATAAAAAGTCATAAAATGTCATAGTATAGTATGGCATAAAAAGTCATAAAAAAGTCATAGTATAGTAGGGCATAAAAAGTCATTAAAAAAGACATACTATAGTAAAGCATAAAAAGTCATAAAAAAGTCATAGTATAGTAGGGCATAAAAAGTCATTAAAAAAGACATACTATAGTAAAGCATAAAAAGTCATAAAATGTCATAGTATAGTAGGGCATAAAAAGTCATTAAAAAAGACATACTATAGTAAAGCATAAAAAGTCATAAAATGTCATAGTATAGTAGGGCATAAAAAGTCATTAAAAAAGACATACTATAGTAAAGCATAAAAAGTCATAAAATGTCATAGTATAGTAGGGCATAAAAAGTCATTAAAAAAGACATACTATAGTAAAGCATAAAAAGTCATAAAATGTCATAGTATAGTAGGGCATAAAAAGTCATTAAAAAAGACATACTATAGTAAAGCATAAAAAGTCATAAAATGTCATAGTATAGTAGGGCATAAAAAGTCATTAAAAAAGACATACTATAGTAAAGCATAAAAAGTCATAAAATGTCATAGTATAGTAGGGCATAAAAAGTCATTAAAAAAGACATACTATAGTAAAGCATAAAAAGTCATAAAATGTCATAGTATAGTAGGGCATAAAAAGTCATTAAAAAAGACATACTATAGTAAAGCATAAAAAGTCATAAAATGTCATAGTATAGTAGGGCATAAAAAGTCATTAAAAAAGACATACTATAGTAAAGCATAAAAAGTCATAAAATGTCATAGTATAGTAGGGCATAAAAAGTCATTAAAAAAGACATACTATAGTAAAGCATAAAAAGTCATAAAATGTCATAGTATAGTAGGGCATAAAAAGTCATTAAAAAAGACATACTATAGTAAAGCATAAAAAGTCATAAAATGTCATAGTATAGTAGGGCATAAAAAGTCATTAAAAAAGACATACTATAGTAAAGCATAAAAAGTCATAAAATGTCATAGTATAGTAGGGCATAAAAAGTCATTAAAAAAGACATACTATAGTAAAGCATAAAAAGTCATAAAATGTCATAGTATAGTAGGGCATAAAAAGTCATTAAAAAAGACATACTATAGTAAAGCATAAAAAGTCATAAAATGTCATAGTATAGTAGGGCATAAAAAGTCATTAAAAAAGACATACTATAGTAAAGCATAAAAAGTCATAAAATGTCATAGTATAGTAGGGCATAAAAAGTCATTAAAAAAGACATACTATAGTAAAGCATAAAAAGTCATAAAATGTCATAGTATAGTAGGGCATAAAAAGTCATTAAAAAAGACATACTATAGTAAAGCATAAAAAGTCATAAAAACGACATAGTATGGTAAGGCATGAAAAGTCAAACAATGACATAGTATAGTAAGGCATAAAAAGTCATACAATCGGCATAGTATAGTAAGGAATTTTATGTCATAAAAACAACATAGTACAGTAAGGTGTGAAAAGGTCATAGTATAATGAGGCACAAAAAGTCATAAAAAAAAGTCATAGTATAGTAAGGCATAAAAAGTCATTAAAAAAGACATACTATAGTAAGGCATAAAAAGTCATAAAAACGACATAGTATAGTAAGGCATAAAAAGTCATAAAACGACATAGTATAGTTAGGTATAAAAAGTCTTTAAAAAAGACATACTATAGTAAGCCATAAAAAGTCATTAAAAAAGTCATAGTATAGTAAGGCATAAATAGTCTTAAAAAAGTCATACGATAGTAATGCATAAAAAATCATTAAATATGTCACAGTATAGTAAGGCATGAAAAGTCATAAAAACGACATAGTATATTAAGGCATAAAAAATCATTAAAAACGACATAGTATACTAAGGCAATATGAGCCATAAAGATGGCATAGTATAGTAAGGCATAAAATGTCATAAAATGTCATAGTATAGTTAGGTATAAAAAGTCATAGTATAGTAATGTGTAAAAAGTCATTAAATATGTCACAGTATAGTAAGGTATTAAAAGTCATAAAAACGACATAGTATATTAAGGCATAAAAAAATCATTAAAAAAGACACAGTATAGTAAGGCATAAAAAGTCATAAAACGACATAGTATAGTTAGGTATAAAAAGTCTTTAAAAAAGACATACTATAGTAAGCCATAAAAAGTCATTAAAAAAGTCATAGTATAGTAAGGCATAAATAGTCTTAAAAAAGTCATACGATAGTAATGCATAAAAAATCATTAAATATGTCACAGTATAGTAAGGCATGAAAAGTCATAAAAACGACATAGTATATTAAGGCATAAAAAATCATTAAAAACGACATAGTATACTAAGGCAATATGAGCCATAAAGATGGCATAGTATAGTAAGGCATAAAATGTCATAAAATGTCATAGTATAGTTAGGTATAAAAAGTCATAGTATAGTAATGTGTAAAAAGTCATTAAATATGTCACAGTATAGTAAGGTATTAAAAGTCATAAAAACGACATAGTATATTAAGGTATAAAAAAATCATTAAAAAAGACACAGTATAGTAAGGCATAAAAAGTCATTAAAAAAGACATACTATAGTAAGGCATAAAAAGTCATAAAAACTACATAGTATAGTAAGGCATAAAAAGTCATAAAACGACATAGTATAGTTAGGTATAAAAAGTCATAAAAAAGTCATAGCATAGTATGTCATAAAAATTCATAAACAAGTCATGGTATAGTAAGAAATAAAAAGTCATTAAAAAAGACATACTATAGTAAGGCATAAAAAGTCATTAAAAAAGTCATAGTATAGTAAGGCATAAAAAGTCATAAAAAAGTCATAGTATAGTAAGGCATAAAAAATCATTAAATATGTCACAGTATAGTAAGGCATGAAAAGTCATAAAAACGACATAGTATATTAAGGCATAAAAAATCATTAAAAACGACATAGTATACTAAGGCAATATGAGCCATAAAGATGGCATAGTATAGTAAGGCATAAAATGTCATAAAATGTCATAGTATAGTTAGGTATAAAAAGTCATAGTATAGTAATGTGTAAAAAGTCATTAAATATGTCACAGTATAGTAAGGTATTAAAAGTCATAAAAACGACATAGTATATTAAGGTATAAAAAAATCATTAAAAAAGACACAGTATAGTAAGGCATAAAAAGTCATTAAAAAAGACATACTATAGTAAGGCATAAAAAGTCATAAAAACTACATAGTATAGTAAGGCATAAAAAGTCATAAAACGACATAGTATAGTTAGGTATAAAAAGTCATAAAAAAGTCATAGCATAGTATGTCATAAAAATTCATAAACAAGTCATGGTATAGTAAGAAATAAAAAGTCATTAAAAAAGACATACTATAGTAAGGCATAAAAAGTCATTAAAAAAGTCATAGTATAGTAAGGCATAAAAAGTCATAAAAAAGTCATAGTATAGTAAGGCATAAAAAATCCTTAAAAAAGACATTGTATAGTAAGGCACAAAAACTCAAGAAAACGACATAGTATAGTAAGGCAATATGAGCCATAAAGATGGCATAGTATAGTAAGGCATAAAATGTCATAAAATGTCATAGTATAGTTAGGTATAAAAAGTCATAGTATAGTAATGCGTGAAAAGACATTAAATATGTCACAGTATAGCAAGGCATTAAAAGTCATAAAAACGACATAGTATATTAAGGCATAAAAAAATCATTAAAAAAGACACAGTATAGTAAGGCATAAAAAGTCATTAAAAAAGTCATTTTATGATAAAAATTAAAAAGTTATAAAAATGTCATAGTATAGAAAGGCATAAAAAATCATAAAAACAACATTGTATCGTAAGGCATAAAAAGTCATAAAACGTCATGTTATAGTATGGCATAAAAAGTCATAAAAAAGTCATGATATAGTATTGCATAAAAAGTCATAAAAAAGTCATAGTATAGTAAGGCATAAAAAGTCTTAAAAAACGTCAGTA